ATTATAGACATCATGTGGTACAACCACAAGCAGCCAACCATCGAGTCTTTCTTGACCACTGGGTATGAAACCGACGATGGTCCCGCTCCTCCTCCCCGTCGGTCTTCTCGTGTAGTCACTCCGGCCAGAAGAGTTCCAGGGATGATTATTCCCTTGTCCGACTCGCGACGTGGCATGGGTGACTTGTTCTCAGTCAGGGATGTCAGAGACGCCCATGTCCACCGTCGTCGAGAGCGATCTGCCTCCTTGCCTGGCAATGAAGTGTTTCGTGAACCAGCACGTGGACGATCGAAGACTGTCTCACGTCCGGCATCTTCTGTAAGTCATCTTTTTTTACAATCTACAATTGTAATTTGTTTATTTGAGTCTTACCTTTATAATTCTTCATTGTTTATCTTCTAAACGCAGGCTACTGGCACAGGATCCTTCCGTGAACGCTCCCAATCAGTATCCAATGGTGGAATGGTCTCTTCTATGGTCTCTTCTTCTACTTCAAGGATCCTTGCTTCAAAAGGCAAGAAGAGCCAAGGATCTGGTCCTGTAAGTCCAGTACCATCTACTAAAAATCTCATTCGATTTTCGATTGACAATCTTATGTTCCTATCGTTCATGTTTTTGAACACTATCTGTAGGTACCAATCCAATCGGGTCCAGTGATCGAAGTCGACTTACAACAAGACTCGGATGAGGACAACTCGCGCCTCAGAAAACGCAAAAGGAATCAGGCTCCTGACGACTTTGACTGTCCATTTGAGTACTTTGGACCTCCCTGGCATTTGAAAAAAGATGTAAGTCTGATATCTTGCTCATATTGTCTTACAAAGCTTGTATTTGTATCTGTGTAGCTGACAATAAGTGATCTTGTAGGCAAAGGACCAACCGGGACTATCTCATACTTGTACCTGGTGTAACAAGGAGGTCCGAGTCAGTGCCAGCTCTCGAAGATCCAACCTCAAAGTGCACCGAGATGGTAATCCTGCACCTGGTAAGTCTGGAGCGGGGTGCCCACGTCGCAATCAGGCAATTGCCGCTGGCGCCAAGCTCCCTCCCACTGTGAATGAACTCCGAGCTCAGCGTCTCCAGCAAGATCATCAAACATCTCTTACTTCCTTTGTCAACAAACCACCGACCTTCTCCAATTGTACATTAAATCAATGTCTCTCGGTGTGGCAAGTGGCGCACGCATTGCCTTTCATTCGTATCGAAGATACAATCCTTAAGTCAATAATGTATTGGCTACGACCTGATGCACGAGTTTTTGGACAAAAGTGGTCGGCCGAAGAGGCCAAACGACTGTATCTTTCACTTTGTGGACTAGTCATTGAGAAGGAACTCAAGGTTTGAATTTCATCTCTTATCATTTCTTGACATTTCCCTTCTCCTTTCCTTTCATCTCCATTTATCTCGTCTTTTCATTGATATTCTTCCCTTCTCTTATTACAGGAACTGGACAGCAAGTTCTGTCTGATTCAAGATGTATGGACGGTGAAGGGAAACCTTCACGCATTCATTGGATCATCGGTCTCTTACGTTACAAAGGACTGGAAATATGTTGTCCGACATTTAAGTATGAAGTTAGTTGCATGGCATCACAACGGCAACTTGCTTGCTGAGCCCATGGTAACTGTATTAAAAAAGAACGATCTCTATAAAAAGATAAGTCCTTTGAAGTTTCTTTTTTCTTTTTTACTTTCATTTCATTTCAATTTAACTCGATATGCTGATTTATATTTCTTTATTACATGCTAGCCATGGCTTCTGACTCAGGAAGCAACAACTTCACCCTAGGCCGTGAGATGCATCGTCAGCTCCGTGAAGAAGGTTACAAATCAGGCCATGATCTCAGCTGGAATCCGAAATCAATGTCGATTCGTTGCTTCTGTCACAAAATGGGACTGATAGTCAAGGCCGGGCTGGACGCACTAGGTATGAAACCAAGGCGCATCCGCCACAACACCTTAGGTAGGTTTCCACCGGTTGAAGTGTTGGCTTCAATCGAGGAGGAGGACGAGTTGGATGGCCTCAAGTCTGGATTGGAGGAATTAGAAGTTAATCAAAGTGAAAGTATGAGTGGAGATGATGATAATGACGAATTAGAAAGTAATCAGAGCAGCGAACCCGATGATTCAGATTCCAACGCTGACCCCCAAGAAGAAGATCACGAAGAAGAAGACGAGCCAGAAAACTACCGTAACCGTAAGACCGCTTACCTCCTTGGGGATACTTATATGAAAGGTTTGAGTAATGATGTAAGTAATGTAATACCTTCTATTGCTTACATTCACATGACTGAAATATCAATTTGGGACATATTACCTCTTACAGATGGATAAGGTGAACAAGAAGCTCACTCGCTCCAGTGGACACCGTGCAGATTTCAATCGACGCCGACATCAAGCTAATGTTCAACGTAAATTGGACGACTTACCTGCGCTGAAGGCTCTCTTGTCAGGCCACGGTATTCGGTGGGGAATACAAGCTGAACGCTGGGAGCGGATGTGGGAGGCGCGCGATGTAAGTGTCTTACATATTCTATCAAAGCATTGATCCCCAGTTCAGTGAACAATTGAACTAATTGTTTGATCTCTTTGTACTTCATTCAGCTCATTGATCGAGTCACGAGAGATGACTTGACCGAAGTTCACTCAAGGAAGCGTCGTCCAAGAAAAGATGGTAAAAAACACGGGTACTTCGAAGAGCTGGAATTCTCGGTGGGGGATTGGCAGGCTATGCGAGATATGTTGGACATACTCACAGTAAGTTTCTTATTTTTTGCTATTATCTTACATCGTGACTCCTGACTGATTAGACATTTCCTGACCGGGTCTGGGGATAGCCATACAAGATTCTGACTTGACAAATGGAAGGCGATAAACCTACAGGGTGTATGGTTATCGCCAAGTATGTGAAGCTCAAGTCCTCGATGGAAAGCCAATTAAATAATATGCACATCAACGATCCGCTCTATCCTATGGTGGACGTCATGATTGGAAAGATCAAAACTTATCTGGAGGAAGCTATTGGATGCGACACCCTGGTTCTTGCTGCCGTCTTTCACCCAGGATTACGAGTCAGATTCTTTTCTCACGTTTTTGGAGAAGACTTGGCCAATCACCAGCGAGCCCAAGAATTACTACAATCTGTATTCACTTCGCAACGAGATGCAACTGACGTTCAAAATCAACCAGTCTCTCCACCTTTGGCAATCAAGACTTCAAACAAAGATGTTGGACCATCCTTCCTTCATCTCTATGACGAAGTAGTCACCTCAAGCAACCTCGATGAGCTCGACCGATACCTTCAGGGTATTGACCCAATGGTATCGCCCGATGTGAACAACCCAGATCATGCTCTGGAGTGGTGGAGTGTAAGCAATTTCTCGTCTTTCATCTTTTGTATACTTCATTACCAAAGCTGATCTCTGATCTCTTACAGACTCAAGAAGGTAAATACCCTGTCTTATCGACTTTGGCTCGGGACTACTTAGCAACACCTGCGGCATCCGGTGCCCCTGAACGTTCCTTCTCAATCGCGGGACGTGTATGT